AAAAAAAAAAAAAAGATTTAAAAACATAAAATACATGTACAGTATTGTACTGTATTTATCAATACTCTAAGTTTTACATCGTCTGTCTGAAATGGCAGGTAACCACAGCTGCAGATCTCAATCTATAATACATATTAAGCAATTCAACTTTTTGTTGGAATGTCATGACTTTGCTTTTTAGAAGCACTTCTGGCAGCAGTAGTGACACTTCATGTGAGTCACACGGTGTTATCATGGTTTACAATATTGCATTAAACACGATGAAACGTACACGGTGAAACGTACAGGAGAACTAACAGAGATGGCTTTTTTTTTTCTTTTTTGAGCCAGAATCCCACTCTTTTGCCCAAGCTGGAATGCAGAGGCACGATCACGGCTCACTACAGCCTCAAGAGAGATCACTTTTTATCTCCACATGCAAGTTATTGTTAAAGCGGACCGCTCAAGGGGAGATGATTAGCATCACATGGTGGCATTTTAAGCAGATACTCTCAACACTTGAGCTCACCACCATGGCAACAGGAGGTGGGTACATAATTTTATGCAGTTATGATTTAATACTGAATCTCTACATTTGTTTACATTTCCCTTGACTGTGAATGGCACCATGTATGGTCTGTGGGTGTGCAAATTTTGATAAATTTTAACTTTTTATAATAGATTTGTGTGTATTTTATGGTAGAAAATAATAAAGTAGACTAGTCAGTACATATATTTATGCATTCATAACATATGTAACTTTTTCTTAAGTTTTTTGATATTTACAGGCTACACAGTTCATCTGCAATTTTTACCAATTGTTGAAAATCTCCAAAAATGTTCTAATATATTTATGGAAAAATATCTGCAGTTCAAACTCATGTTGCTCAAGGGTTAACTCTATATCATGGCGGGTGAGAACACAGCTCTGGAGGCAGAATCCTAAATTTAAACTCCAACTCCACCACTTGTTAGCTTGACCTTGGATAAACTACTCAATTTTTCTGTGCCTCAGTTTCCTCATCTGTAAAATGAAAATCATAGCCTCTCTGTGCTACAATGTTCTAACATGTAAAATGGGATTTTTGTGAGGATTAAATGAGTTAATAGAGGTAAAGCATTTAAAAGAGTGCCTGGCACAAAGTAAGTACTAGATGTAGGTTAGTTATTATTACATTTTATGCAAGCTGAATTCCCCAGAAAGCTGGGGCTCAACCTGCTATGCCACTTCTAGCCTCAGGAGTTGTAGAGCGGCAGCCAAGAAGATGCTGTACTCTATTTCCACACAACTCCCTCATTTCCTAACCCCTTCTCTGCTTCCCAACATTTTCTTTGTTCTTTAACCTCTGTCTGTTACCAATTTAAACTTCCTATCTTGCTTTTTTTTTTTTATAGTTTAATGTATTTTAATAGCAAACTTACAGGAACAGCACAGAAGACAGACAGCATTAAAAACATGTACTTGCATGTAGGACAACTCAGAAAAGTATAGTGAATGGATGGAATCTACTGTATGATAAAAATGCTACAAACATCATTTAGTTGTCGTCGATAAGAAATTAACCTGTTTAAAAAGAAATCCAAATGCTGGCATTGTCCACAAAAATTTAACAGGTTTATTTATAATTATTATAAAGTTGAACCGCTGAAACTTGTTCACTGAAACATTTTAACTTGGATTAATGCTTTACTTCTCCACACTTATATTAAAAATTCAAACAGAAATGAAAATGGAAAAACTGCTGATACCTGGTTTCTGTCCCCTATTTTTCCACTCGCAATCATATAGTTAGGCACATTTTGACCCCATGGAAAAAAAAAAAAAAAAAACACTAACGTTCAGAACTACCAATAACAGGAATAAGCGATTTTTAAAAAATTTTTGTTAATGAAATGCTTCCCATCATAGTGGACTGTGAAACACGTTCTCCACGTATGCGTCGTGCTAGCTGGATGTCTTTTGGCATAATTGTTACACGTGTGGCATCCATAGCACACAGGTTGGTGTCTTCAAAAAGGCCAACCAGACAGACCTCACTTGCCTCTTGCAAAGTACCGATAGCTGCGCTCTGGAAGCACAAATCTGTTTTAAAGTCCTGAGCAATTTCTCGCACCAGACGCTGGAAGGGAAGTTTGCGAATTAGAAGTTCAGAGGACTTCTGATAACGTCTAATTTCACGGAGTGCCACAGTACCAGGTATGTAACGATGAGGTTTCTTCACTCCTCCAGTAGAGGGCGCACTCCTGCGAGCGGCTTTTGTAGCCGCTTGCTCCCTGGATGCTATACCACCGGTAGATTTGCTGGCAGTCCGCTTTGTAAGAGCCACGGCATAGAGACCTCCTTACTTACCCGCCTTGTCCTTCGGCTGCAGCTCAGCGAGCAAGAGGCGGCGCTGGTGTTGGAGAGCGACAACGGCGCGGCTGCGAACACCACTTCCTATCTGTATTTATTTATTTATTTTATTTGAGACGGAGTTTCGCTCTTATTGCCCAGGCTGGAGTGCAATGGCACGATCTCGGCTCACCGCAACCTCCGCCTCCCTGGTTGAAGCGATTCTCCTGCCTCAGCCTCCCAAGTAGCTGGGATTACAGGCACGTACCACCACGCCCGGCTAATTTTGTATTTTTAGTGGAGACTGGGTTTCTCCACGTTAATCAGGCTGGTCCCGACCTCAGGTGATCCGCCTGCCTCGGCCTTCCAAAGTGCTGGGATTATAGACGTGAGCCACCGTGCCCGGCCCACTTCCTATCTTTCTATTCAAAACAACTACATTAAAAAAGAATTCAACACAACTACATAAAACAAACAAAAAAAGATGTCAGAACAACTAGCAAGAGGTCCATATAGAGGTTTGGGGCATGGTTTTCTTTGATGTTTCAGTGATGTTGGATTGGGTTTTACATATGTCAAAAACATTTCCTTGCCATCTCTTTTTGTAGTGGGATTTTGATACAGGATCATAAGAAGTAGAAAGAGAAAACATATTACACTGGAAAGAGCATGATTTGGGTTTAAATTCCCGGTTCTGTTATTTTTTGGCCAATGCTTAACCTCTCTGCTTCTCAGTTTTCTCAACTGTAAATTGGGGATATTGTTTGCACTTCTATTAAATGAGGTAATGTATCTAAAGTATCTAGCAAGTAGATAATCCTCAAGTGCTCAATTTTATCATTAATAGCGTGTGATTTTAAAGTATACATAAAGTATATCTGACTGAGGCCGAGTGTGGTGGCTCAGGCCTATAATCCCAACACTTTGGGAGGCCGAGGCAGGTGGATCACTTGAGGCCAGGAGTTTGAGACCAACCTGGGCAACAAGGTGAAACCCTGTCTCCACTAAAAATACAAAAAATTAGCTGGACATGATGGCACGTGCCTGTAATCCCAGCTACTCGGGAGGCTGAGGCAGGAGAATTGCTTGAACCTGGGAGGCGGAGGTTGCAGTGAGCAGAGATCGAGCCATCTCCCTCCAGCTTGGGTGACAGAGTGAGACTCTGTCTCAAAATAAATAAATAAATAAATAAAATATATCTAACTGAAGGAAGCATCTTCTCAGCACCACAGTGGAATTCCATCCCTCTACCCAACAGGGCTTCAAGAGACTCGCCTGGCTGAGTCTCCTATTTTTATCTATTTTCATTTTCTAAAATGGATATTAATAGCACCATTTTAGAGGGTTGTTGTGAGAATGAAATAGATTTATGCATGTAATATGCATACTTCGTTCTGGACACTACAGTCAACTTTCTTATTTTCGGAAAGATACAATTTATTTCAAAGAAAGAATAAAAATCCAACCCTATTCTTATCATCAGACTTGAAAAGTAGTTGACAATTGTTTTCTGGAAATGCCCCATGGTGGGCCCAATGTATGCAACAGCCCTAAACTCCCAGAAGAGGGCACCAGCTGTCTCTCTAGCCTTCTAGTTGATGGGGGATAGGGAGCAGCTGTTTAAGAGGTGATGGGAATAAGATCTACAAAAGGATAGATACCAGCCCTTCCTGCTTTCTTAGAAAAGGCCAGTATGTGAAAAAAACTAATTATAAATCAGACAGTTTAGGAGGTGATTACTGACTTGACAAAAGGACACAACAAAATGGATCACTGCAATTTGCTCTGAATAGCAGGAACCCTTAAAGCTCAGTATGGGTTTCTTTTTCAAACTACAATGTGCTGGGCACACTAGTGAAATGCATGAAATTTACAAAGAATTGATTTTTATCTAACTTTTCAGAATACGGCTATTGTATTAAGCACACATGTATAATGGAATTCTTCCTTTAAATGATCATGATTTACATTTTCTTGCAATTGCATTTATTCAGCAAATATCTAGTAATCACTTCCTATGTGATTGTGTTAGGTGTTACCATGCAGGCTAAGAGCTAGGCTACTTGGTTTAAATTCCAGCTCTATCACTCTTAGCTTGGTAATTTAGGACAATTGACTTAATCTCTCTGTGCCTTAGCTTCCTCAGCTAATAATAAGGATAATAATGGCATCATTTTAGAGGGTTGTTGTGAGAATGAAATAAGCTAATACAGCTATTAAGTTGGCGCAAAAGTACATGGCGCAAAAGTAAGAATGAAATAAGCTTATACCGCTATTAAGTTGGCGCAAAAGTAAGCTTATACAGCTATTAAGTTTTACCATTGAAAGTAATGGCAAAAACTGCACTTACTTTTGCACCAACTGAATAATATGCATACTTTGTTCTAGACACTATACCAGACCCTCAGAGTACAGAAATTAACAGGACAAGTCCTCTATCTGCAGTGCTCCCAGGCACCATGCTAGGCACTGGGGTTGGTTGAGGGACACCAAGATAAAGGTTTCTATCTCAAGAAAATAACAACCTGGATCAGGACATAACAGGTAGGAAACATTTCCCATAGCCATGGCATTTCCTCTGATTACTATTCTGAGTTCCCGAGAAATGGACCTATTTCCTGGATAAGTTTTATCTTAAAAGTAATTTTCATTTTCCATAAAACAAAAGGGTATGAGGGTATGTTGTATTATATAGAAGTGTTTATTGATTTGACACTAGGCTACATTATTTTACATATTATACTTTGTTTAATCTTTATATAAATTCTATGAGGTTAAAGCATTATTATTCTCATTTACAGGTGAGAAAATTGAAAATAAGAAGTAACTTGCCCAAGGTAGTAGCACAGCTCTCAAATGGTAGAATCCACTAGGATTTGGACCCAAGGAAGGCTGACTCTTCTTGTACCTGATTAGTTGCTATATAAGCTGTCAATGAGCATTTGGCACCTTAAGAAAGCACATTTCCCCTGTAAAATAATCCCACAGAGATTTCTGAACATGGTACCAAAATCTAAGTTCTGTGAAGTCAAAGATCATGCCTATTTTATTAATTATTGTAGGTGCTCAATAAATATTTGTTGAACAAACGGTTGCAGTAGGAGTTTATCATTCTTTCAGAAATCTAGGCTGATGGGCAGACTCTTGTTGAATATGTTGTAATGTATACTTAGAGAAAGCTAAGTATACATTCTGAGTTTTGAAGTGCAGGAAAGTCTGAAACAACCACATTTCTCAATTCTTTCAATCCCATGTAGAAAAAAAGTTAATATTGCCTGTATTAAGAAGCCCTTGTGACTCTCTCAATCTCTAAAGATTCTAGCAGCCCCAAGACAAAAAGTGCCCCCTTTGCCATGCCTAGGTAGGAAGATTCACTGCTCCCAGCACTTCGAAATGGACATTGCACCAGCCTTGCTAGCCCGAAGACCAGAGCAGGTCTAACCCAATTGGAGTTGGTTCAGGTCCAGACTCGGATGGAGCCAAATCAGCCTCAGGTCCTGGACTCAACGCTAAAACACGCTCATCAGGCCTCAATAGTATGCCAGGCATTGTACTGGGTAGATGCTAGTGAAACCCAATATAACAAGCAAAACAAGTGCAAAGTCCTGAGGATGCAGAAGACCTGTGTGGATGGAGCACAAAGAAGAGAATAGGGGAAAGAGTTCCAGGTAAGAATGGTGTGATAGATAGGAGCAAGAACATGCATGGCCTCGTAAGAGATGCTGCTAACTTTTGTTTATCTTTCTGAAAATTAAAACAAGTGTGGACAAAGTAGAAAAAGGCACTCCTTCTGGGTAGATAGAGCCCTATAAATGCATGGTTTAGCAAGGAGAACACAGGCTGGGTTTCTGTCCTCACATGCCCCTTTGACAGGGTACATTTGTGTTTTGCTCCAACTGCACAGCCATGCATAACTACTCTATTTATAAGGCTTTTGGCCTTCCCTGTGCTTTAGCCTCACTGGCCTTCTGGTTTTCTTTCAGTTTTTCCAACAAACTAGATTATCTTTTGCCTGAAGATCTTTACATATATTGTCTCCTTTACCCAGAATATAATCTCCTCTCGCCTTCCCTAGGGTACTCTCACTCAGCTTTCATCTCTCAGCTCAAGCATCTCTTCCTTGAGGAACTCTTCCCTTAGTCCCTAGGTAGGATCTAAAAAGTATTTGAGGAATATGTGCAATAAAGTTGACACTTGAATTGGGTCCACAGTTACTAATTGGGTTTTGATAGGTGGAGAAAAGAAAGTTGCCATTCCAGGATCAGTTCAGAATTTTTCAAATATTGCCTTGAAAATTCTAAGACGGACCTGAAGAGCAGTGTCATCTCTACCATAGGTCTCTTATGGAGAGTTGGGCAGCATTTGTAAGGCACAGCAGTTGTAAGAAATAAGTTCTGATACAAGTCACTGATACTGATCATCTACTGTATATTGGATCCTTTGTGCATTTGTTTGTTCATTAATTACAACTGTGAAGTAGGTACTGTAATTGTATTCCTGTTTTACAGAAAGAGGAATTGAAGTTCAAAGCAGTTAAGTGATTTAAGCGGAATCAAACAGTTATAATGAAAGGCAGATTTGCACACAGGTCTCTTGACTTCCAAGTCCTCGGCCTTTGTTACACCTTTGAGGAGTCCGTACTTATCTTCTGCAGCACTTCTCAGGCTTGGATTCCCATGCTGGATCTCCAGAATCTGGTCTTCAGTGTGGCAACAGAGTTGCTTCTATCCAACAGTTCCTACGAGAGCTCCTCATGATGTTTCTGGGATCTTTAGGCTGAAGGGGGTGTCCAAGTAGAGAATCTCCAGGAAGAGAAATCTAGAAACAGAACCTTGTAAACCTTAGCATGAAAGTGCGGAATTTTAACTGTTATCTTGCTTATAAGCCATAATAACTCCCAGGGAAACCAGGAGAGTATTTATTTTTTAGCCAAGTAAACAAGCAAGAGCTAAGCATGATGATAGCTGGTGTAGCCATTGGAGTTTTTGGTCATCGCTGGATAATCA